CTCTCAGGGGTAGATCTGCCCTGAATTGTCTATAATTGAGCTCAAAATGGACCTGACATCCCGGCGCAAGGCTGCTTGGCTGGCACAGCCCCTGTCCCCAGACACTTACCCTGCCTTTTGGGGTGGCCTTGTTTTTACTGCCCTTCGGCCGCCCGCGGGGTCTCTTGGGGGTCGGGGCCTCGCTGGGCTCCTGCTGGAGGGAAAACAGACGGGGGGGGGGGCGTCACTGCAGATTGGGGGTCCCCGGGGAGGGATGTACACCCAGAGCAGCAGAGCACCCCGGGATGCTCCAGGCTGGAAGCCCCATTCTCCCCAGCAGACCCCGCCAGGGCAGGGATGCTCTTGCATACGGTACTGGGAGCACTGGTTGGACTGGGATCGGTGCTCAGGAGCCAGGCACAGGCTCCTGCACGTCCTTCAGCCGGGCACGTACATGACCCGTCCTGCCCTGGCGTTAATCGCTCAGCTTAGCCGGTTGGTCCCCACTGGTTTTGCAGCCCCGGGCCCCAGCTCGCTACTGGTGCCACTGACTGGCAAAGTGTTAGAGAACCAATAAATCGCCTTTTTTTGCAGGAAAATGATGTGCACAAACCCCACCTGCCCCGGGGAAGGGGCTGGAGGGGGGGTTGGCACTATAAAGGCTCCAGCATCATCTTATCCTTCTGAGCAGCTTTTGCTAATGGGGCTTTAAATAACCCGTCTGCAAAGGCAGGTTCAGCTGCAGCCTGGGGAGGAGCGAGGGGAGGCCAGAGCCCTTCCCTGGGCCAGGAGGGGCTCTGGGGTGGTGCAGGGATCCCCCCTCCAGGAGGGTTTTGATGCTGGTGAACATCCAGGAGATGCTGCCCAAAGGGAGGTAACAGGGGCTGCACTGTGGGCATCCCCATCAGCGTCCTGTCTGTGCCCGGGGGATGCTGCCGGCGTTTCTCACTGCCCCACACCCTGGGGGTGCCCAGCCCCTGAGGGCAGAGCAGTGGGGTGCCCCCCTCCCCTTCTTCCCAGGGGACCCCACGTACCTGGGGCTTCTTCCTGGGCCGTCCCCGGCCCCTCTTCTCCGCCACGTCCTTCTCCCCCTTGGAGGCCAGGGGTTGGCTGGATTTGGCGCCGGATTCACTCATCGTCCTTCCAGCAGCAGTGAGGAGGAGCAGGGGGGAGAGGAAGGTCAGTCAGCAATGGCCATGCTGGCTGGTGCTGCTCCCCCCAGCCCTCGCCCCGGGGCAGGTGGGCACTGGTGGCCACAGAAGTGACTCGTGGGGCTGCAGGGGACGGGGGGAGCCACCAGAGCCTCCTGTGGGGTCAGCCCAGCTGTGGCCATGCCCCTGCCACCCGCTCCCCCGGGTAAGGATGCTTGACACAACCACCCCAGGTGCCACCTGGCCCCTCTGTGGGGGTGTCTGGTGGGGTATCAGCATGGACAGGAGGTGTCAAGGACTGGGGTCCATTAAAAATGCCTCTTAGAATTAAAATTCAGCTGAAACGAGCAGCTTCTGCCCCATTACAGCCCTCCACAGAGGCTTGCCCACATCCCGCTCCTCTCCCTGCGTGGAACAGGGGCCAGTCTGTGCCCAGGGCACTACCAGGGCCCACAGGGGAGAAACCAAAAGCATCACTGAGAGCTATGCCTAGGAGAGAACCCCCCACCTATATTTTTTAACCCCCAAGCCCATTGCAAAGCACATTGGGCAGACGTGACTCTCCTCCCGCTGCTGCAAAGCCAGTATCTGCAAAACTGCCCCGGCTGCACCTGTATCCCTCCTGCAAACAGCCCTTTGGCCCGTGACAACGCCCTGGTGCAACAAGCCTGGGCCAACACCGACAGTCTGGGATGGAGCAATGTGTCTGAAGCTGCAGGGCTGGACCCTGGCAGCAGGACCCTGGGGTTACTCCCCGATTTCGTGGCCCTAATGACCAGCCCCATGTAGCTGGGCAAGGCTCTGGGTGCTCCGACCTCCCCAACTCACCCATCCCTGCTCCCCACCTTCCCTCAGGGTGGGTTTGCAGCTGGATACCTCCTGGGGATGCAACCTGCATCCTCCCATCACCGTCTGGGGAGCAAAATGAACCACCTGCCAGGCGGGATCTGGCCCCAAACCCACGGCACGGACACCTCATTGAATTAGGCAGTGCCCTGGTGCTAAAGCAGCTCCCGGGATCCCCAGCAGGCATTCGGGGAGCAGCAGCTTGGCCGGCCCTTCCTGCAGAGCCCATCCCCTTCTCCCAAAAGGAGAAGAGCGGCTCCAGATTTAATCTGGAGTCCTTGAAATCTCAGACACTCTGTCAGCACAGACAAGTTGGAACAGGACAAGTGGTGGCAGGACACTGGGAGCCTCTGGGCATCCCCACGGGGGTCCCAGGGCCCCGGGAGAGTGGTGCAGGCTCCCGCAGCCCTGCTCCCCGCACCCCACCTTGACACCCAGCACCCCTGACCCTGCTCCTGCCACCCTGGATGAGTTTAGGCACAGGCTGGGTTGTCCACTCCCCTGCGCATGTCCCAAAGGGCTGGATGGTTTTCCCTGCTCATGAGCAAATCCCGCAGAGGAAAAGGCTCCATCAGCAGCTCTCCACCTTGATGATGCTTCCCCAGGGGTGGAGTGAAAACCTGCTTTTCCAGAGCCTTGGGGCCGGTTCCACACCCAGCTCCCAGCCCAGGAGCCAGGAGGATGGGCTCTGGGAAAGGAGCAGGATGGCTACCACAGCCCCGGCGCTTCCTGGTGACCCCCAGGTGACCACATGGGGGAGGGGGGGCACCTGCTCAGAGCAACGATGTGATGTTTCCCAGCAAAAAGTAGGCCCAGGAGAGCAGCGTCCTGGTCTCGCTGCTCCTAAGTGGGGAGCTTGGAGCTACCTGGGAGACTTGGCTGGAAAACCACAGCGGTGCTCTGGAATGGATGATGCAGGCCCCCCAAGGCCCCCTCTCCCTCCGGGGACGGTCCCTGCACCCCTGCCCTGGGTCCGACCCACGTCTCCTGAGCACGGCATCCCCCCAGCCTGGCTTCTCCTGCAGGTACAAGGTTGTGTGCCCGGTTCTGCGTGTGAAGACAGAGGCACTCTCCCTACCTCTGCCTGCAGGGTTAATAACACTTAGTTTTGAGCAACTGGTTTCAATTTTGGATGGTGTTAGAGCCGCCGGCACAGCGCTACCGGGGAGAGTAGGGCTGGGGGGGGCAGCCGGGGTGCTGAGCCCCCTCCCATGGGTGCTGAGCCCTGCCCGGGCGATGGTGTGGGTGAGAGGAGCCCTGTGTCCTGTGCTCAGACCTTCGAGGCTTTTTAAAAAACATGCGTCAGCTCCCGCTCCCCTCTGGAAGTGACTCACGAGTGCAAAACAACAACAAAAACCACTCGGATTCTTTTTTTTTTTTTTTCTGGGAGACAGAAACCATGCTGTTGTGTAAATACCCCGAAAATATTACTCACAGCATCCCATAGCCCTTCAAGGAGTCTCTTAGAAAAAAAAAAAAAAAAGTATGGTTTAGATTTAGGAAAGAAAAACGCCGGCCGGCTAACCGGGGGCTGGGAGGGTTTTGTCTCTTTTTAAATCAATCTTTGCCAGAGGAAACGCAGCCTCCGAGCCCTGCCGTACCCTCTCCTGGAGCTGGAAACAGATGGGCCCAGTATGGCCCCCACCCTGCCGTGCTTTCCTCCGCCCCGCCGGGGACAGGCACGGGCCCCACGCAGCGGCTCCAGCCAGGGATGCTGAGGGGACCCTCCCCGGGTACGGCCCCCCCCGAGCCAGAGCCTAATGCCGCAAAGTTGTCGGTGCTGGGCAAAGCACGTGCACGTCCCCTCTGTCCCCCCACCGCCTCTCCCAGGGGCCCCAGAGCCAAAACCACCCCGGGGGACCAAGGGCTCCATGTCCTGCTCTGGCAGAGGGAGCTGAGGATGAGGAGGATGCCCGGGTGGGAGCTGGGGATGCTCCTCTCTCCCACCCCAGCACCTTCCCAGCCAGCACCCCTCTTCCAGAGAGCGGCCCCGGCTCGGCGCGATGCTCCCCGGCTC